GGTTTAATTATTATTACTATATACATCACTACACACACAACACCACAACACAACAACACACATCACTATATATTATATATTACTATATTACTATATTATTATTATTACTTAATTATATTTATATATTTATATTTATTTATTATTTATATATTATTATACTATGATATATTATAGTATATATATATGTTATAGTTATATTTTTGTATATTTTTTTATATTTGGTTTTCTTATCTTTTTTTAATTATTCATTTATATTGCCTATTATTCTTTAATATATATTTATTACTTATGTTTTTTCTTTAAAAAATTAAATAAATTATAATATAATTATTTTTTATATATTAATTATATTTATATATATATAATATATTTATATATATATATATATAATATTAATATCTTTATTAATATTAATACACACACACATTCTCTACACACACACACACACAATCACATCACAACACACACATGTTGCTATCACTAGCTATCTATCTACGCGTGCTACGACGAGCATGTGTCTGGATCGAGTTGTTGGGGTGTGTTGGGTGTGGTGGGCTTTTTCTTGTTATTCTGTTACACACACACAACATCACTCACAGCACACACAACACACACACACATTCACATCACACCAAGCTTATTTAGCTTGATATGTATATGTGAGTGTAGTTAGTGTGTGTGGTTATCGCACACATTTCCTTCTTTATATTTCTATCATATTCACCTAATTATTATTATATTTTATATATAGCGTATATATTTATTATCTTTTTATTTCTATTATATATCATATATATTAAATAATTTTTATTATATTATATTATTATACATATATAATATATCACATTCATCATATAGCATATTTTATATGCATATATATTATTTTATATATTCATTAGCTTATAATATACAATAAATATACTGGCTAAATCATCATTCATTTTATTTTTATTCTCATCCACATACATCACAACACACCATTCTATTATTAACATTTTATTATTTTATTATTTATTTATACATGTATGGCACACATCAACCATATATATATTATATATTATTATATGATATATTATTATATTATATATATATATTATATATATATATATATTGATGTGTTAGTGTTGTGTGTATGTGTGTGTGTGTGTGTGTGTGTGGTGTTGGTGTGTGTGTGTGTGTGTGTGTGTTGTGTGTGTGTGTGTGTGTGTGTGTGTGTTGTGTGTATGTACTATTCTACACTATATACAATTGCAAGAAAATGTAACATCTGATTCTGATTTTTCGTTCTTCTCTTCATTCGACTTCCATCAGATGAACCATTTTTTTTAACAGAACAAGATATATACATATTTTTCTCTAAATAGAATACATTTATAGAAGAGGTGAGTAAACTGCGAATATTACTATCCAATAAATAATTAAAATATATCTAATTAGTAAAGATATACTAATATCTTTCTCCAGGATATAGTTATTACACAAGCCTAAATCATATTTTTTCTTATTTTTTATTCTCTATCGTTCTTTCTCCCTCCCTCCCTCTCCCTCTCTCTCTCTTAAAAAAAATATTAAAAATGCTTCAACATATCAATTCAATAATACAAAAAGAAACAACTCCAAGTTCAAAAAAAGGAAAATAAATTCCATACAAAGAAAAGAAACAAAAAATATTAAAAATACAAAAAGAAAAAAAAAAAAACCAAAAATAATACAAAAGAGAGAAAAAATACAAAAATACACCACACACACACACAAAAAAAAATCAAAATCAAAATACATCTTCCTCTCTTCTCTTTCTACAGTTGCCTCCCCACGACCAGGACGACGAGAGCCGACGACGCGACCAAGGTACCGACGGAGGCGCTGAAGGAGGTGCCCCTCGAGACAGCTGCGCCCGGTTTGTTGTTCCCTGTGAGGACGTTCCACCACGATTCTGCGAGAGGGAGAGGGAGAGAGAGGGAGAGGGCGCGTTAATGTGGTGGATATATTCGGTGGGGTAATAGGAGGGAGAGAGGGAGAGGGAGAGGGAGAGGGAGAGGGAGAGGGAGAGAGAGAGGGAGAAGGGAGAGAGGAGAGAGGGAGAGGGAGAGGGAAAGGGTGTTAATGTGGTGGATATATTCGGATAATAGGAGGGAGAGAGGGATAGGGAGAGAGAGGGAGAGGGCGCGTTAGTGTGGTGGATATATTCGGTGGGATAATAGGAGGGAGAGAGGTAGAGGGAGAAAGGGAAAACAACATAAACAAACAGTAAACAAAACCAACCAACCAACCAAACCACCAAGCACCCAACCGACTCACCCTCATCCCGAACACGTCCTCCTCCTCCAACCCTCCACACGTGCGGTAGGGGACCTCTTCTTCCTCTTGGGTCGGGATACACGCCGCGGATGCTGATCGTAGGATGGTCGAGGATCCCGCCGGCCAGGACGCGAGAGAAATCCTGCTCCAGCTGGTGGGCTTGAGGTCCTGGTTGGGGGGAAAAAGGGGAGGGGGTGAGTTGGGGTTTGGGGGTGAGGGAGAAAGGGTGGGGTGAGGGGGTAGGAGGGAGGGTGGGGGAGAAGTGGGGTGTGAGGGAGAGGGGGTGAAGGGGTGTGAGGGAGAAGTGGGGGGGTGAGAGGGTGTGAGAGGGAGACGGGGGGATGAAAGGGGCGCCCGTGAGGTGGTGAGTGGGGGGGGGGGGGGGGATGTGAGGGAGAAGAGGGGGTATAAAGGGGTGTGAGGGAGCGAGGTGTTTGAGGGAGAAAGAGGGTGTGAGTGGGGATGGGAGGGAGAAGGGGTGTGAGAGTAAAGGGAGAGGAGGGTGGGTGAGGGAGAAATAAGGAGGGTGTGGGTGGGGAGAGGGAAAGAAAAAAAAGGTGAGTGGGTGTGGAGAGGCAGGGGATGAGGGTGGTAAGAGGGTTAAGGGAGAAAGGGGTGAGGAGAGTTAAGGGGTGAAATGGGGTGAGGGGTGTAAGGAGGTGTGAGGGTGTAAACAGAGAAAGTTGGTGTAGGTGGTGAGGTGGTGAGGAAGAAGGGGGTAAGGATGTGAGGGTGGTGTGAGGGTGAGGGCGTGGTGAAAGGAGATGACTTTAAGGTAATTAGGAAAGCGTATCTTCCTTGGGATCTCTCTCCAAATAATGAAAGGACATAAGGAATAAACAAGTAAATAAACATGAATACAAATACAAAATAAAGAAAAATGAACCTTCACGATCTAGACAAATATTTTAACAAACCTCGTGTAGAATTACCAGATTATTATAACGATAACATTAACAACAAAATATTAACATTTAGCATATATCTCCATTCTCTTGGGCAAAAAAAATATAGCAATCCTAATAATAATAATATTCAAAGAAATTATCAGGATACTCAAAATATCCAATGCCTAGCCTAATATAGGTATCCATAATGTCCCCCAAAAAAATCCTATTTCGAAATGTTCATATATCCAAAGGTGATCCTCACAGTATCCCAATGATAATCCCTAAAACAAACTTTAATTTTAAAAATCGAAAATTTCCAATCCACAACTCAAAATACCTTGCAATAATCAATAATAATATATAAACATTCATAATAAAAAATATACACATCCACATGCTCCTAACATCCAATGATTATCCTAATCCTAATACTCACAGTATCTAAAATTATCCGTACCCACATACTCCCTATACCCAATAATAATTCTAGTCCAAATACACATGATATCCAAAATATATCCACACCAATATATTCATAATATATCCACACCAATATATTTAATAGCCAAACATATCCACACCATATCACCCAATATATTTATAATAGGCCCAAACATATCCCACACACCAATATATTTATAATAGCCAAACATATCCACACAATAATATTTATAATAGCCAAACATATCCACACCAATATATTTATAATAGCCAAACATATCCACACCAATATATTTATAATAGCCAAACATATCCACACCAATATATTTATTATAGCCAAACATATCCACACCAATATACTCATAACATCCACCCTCATAATTATCCACAAGCAACCACATCCACATACTCCTCATACCCAACAACGAACCTCATTCCCATCCTCATCATACACACGCATGGCCCTAATACTCCTCATACCTTAACACCCTAATACTCCTCATACCTAAAATACCTAATACCTCTAATACTCCTCATACCTTAATACCCTAATACTCCTCATACCTTAATACCCTAATACTCCTCATACCTTAATACCCTAATACTCCTCATACCTTAATACCCTAATACCCTACTGACCCTAATACCCACATCCCTTTTTATCACGTGTTCATACAACAGGAACAACGAAGGGAAGAACAAGAAAACACACGAATATATGGAAGGCCTTTTCGCTATTGCTTCGTCAGGACAAATAGCGAAAAAGCTTTCGGTATATTCGTGTGTTTTCTTGTTCTTCCCTTCGTTGTTCCTACTGCAATTTGTTCGAATTCCTCATGACCCTTATACTCCTCATACCTTAATACCCTAATATCCTACTAACCCTAATACTCCTCATACCGTAATACCCTAATACTCTTCATACCCTAATACTCCTCATACCTTAATACCCTAATACTCCTCATACCTTAATACCTTCATACCCCAATACCCCTAATGAATACCCTAATACCCTCATCATGACCCTAATACCCACACTCCTTGATACCCTAATACTCCTCATACCTTAATACCCTACTAGAACCTCATTCCTTAATACCCTAATACTCCTCATACCTTAATACCTCACTCCTCACACCTTAATACCTTAATACACCTAATACCCCTAATGAATACCCTAATACCCTCATCATGACCCTTTAACACCCACACTCCTTTCTCCTCCCGCCAACGTACCCATGAAATTGACGACGAAAGTGGCACATTTCTGGTCCTCCGATTCGCTCACCGTCTGCAGATCGGCGGCGAGGTACCACTCGGGGGCGCCAAGGACTTCGCGAATTTCGTCCATCACGCGAATCCTTCAGAGAGGAAGAGAAGAGAGAGAGGAGGTGGTGACGGGGTTGCGGGTTCAAGAGGAGGAGGTTGGTAGGTTGGAAGGGGGGGGGGGGGTTTGGTTGTGGTGGGGGTTTGTGTGGGGGTGGGGGGGGTGCGTGGGTGGGATGGGTTGTAGGTTTGGGGCTGGGTGGGTTTTGTTGGGGGTTTGTGGGGGTGTGGGTAGTGGGGGGGGAGGGGGATGGGTTGTGGGTTGTGGGGATGTGTGTGGTGGGTGGGATGGGGGTGGGTTGTGTAGGGGGGAGGGGTGATGTGTGTGTGTGTGTGTGTGTGTGGTGTGTGTGTGTGTGTTGTGTTGTGTGTGTGTGTGTGGTGTGTGTGTGTGTGTGTGTGTGTGTGTGTGAAGTGGGTGTGTGTGTGGTGTGGGTACTCAGGGGGGAAAATATTGCTGTATATGTTTATCTATATTTCCATAAAACTAATAATCATGTATCACAAGAAAGCTCAATAAAATACCACAATATATCTATGTTTATGGTAGTTTATCTTTTAGAGTATGAGTCTGGAGAGATAGTTTAGGCGAAATACATTATTTATTAGATAAAGAATTTATTAAAGAAAATGTTTTAAAAAAATATGCCTAATTTAAGTCAAAAATGAAAATAACCAATCACAAAATATAAATATGATACTATAAATATGACAGTAATTACACAAGCCTCTCCATAAAAGATGACAAAACTAAATTATCAAAGTTCAGGATAAATATGAAACCAAATAAAACCTTATCAAGCACACATCACATTAAATCTATCACTCACTGAGGTTAGATTTAGAGGATATTGAAGATGACTTTCCGATGAATATGAAAGGAGGGAAAATGAGTAAAAATGAGTCACGTACTTACCACGTTACGGTTATTACTTCCCGGGTGACGTAAGTTAACCTCGATGTAAGTCTCGCCAAAGGAGCCGTCCATGTACACCAGTTGTCTCTGTGTGCATAATACCAGAGTTTAATATAAGATAAAATTACATAGGGGTATACCTTGCGAGATGGTATAGTATATGTATGATATATTTCTATAAGTTGCTATAAATGAATTTGTTCCTAACTGGTATGTTGTAGTATATGATTAGTATAAAATAATCAGTGTAAGAGATATGAAATTGGTATATTGTTGGTATCTATAACAGCATCTATCATAGTGATCTGTCTAAACTGGTGCATAGCTGATATGTAGGATTTATCATATAGCTGGCATGTGGCATTTAAATGTTAAGACGGGGATGGACAGGGTTTTGGCGGGAAATTTAAATTCTCCCTCTCACGAATATTTTGAAATTATTCAGTTGTAATGTATAATGCATGATTCATAATGTGCTTTTGTTTTTTATCATTATCACTTTTTAATCTAAACAGAAATAGATCGATTAGTATGTAGTTATATGACAAACAGGAGTTGATTATGAATAGTGTATTAATACAGACGTATGGCATTTATAAGGGAATGATAGATCTTTCTTAAATCAGATAAGGTTATTCATATCGTAAAAGAACTCAGATATGGAAAAAGTTCTACTTATATAATTTCCAGTTCATCATTCACATTCATGACATCAAATTTTAACCGTTATGAAATTCCCGCTTTTCACATATTCAAATCAACCGAAAACCAGATAAGAGACGGCAAAATCACCAAGGTAATTCTGAACATACATTAATCTAACTATTGAACATATATTCATCTAATTTCATCGTTAGCGGCTGGAGAAACCAAAATGGCCGCCCGTCTTTTGTTTTTTGAATTCAAGGAAAAAAATTGAAGGCCGAGATGCGCACAGTCGATGCCACGTAATGATGATGGAAAGAACACAGAAAACGCAACTGTATTGGCGTGATGCGTCAAGGTTGTCAGATACTGCTTTTTTATTGTTATTATTTTTTTCAGACGAATCGACAAAAAGTATAGAAAATACCACAGAAAACGGGATTGCATTAGCGTGATGTGTCAAAATTATCATAGATTTTTTTTGTGTATTGTTATTTTTGAAGAAATTGAAAAATTGAATATGCATTATATCTCAAAACAAGAGAAAAACTTAACATTACCAAATATATATATTTATACATGTATGGTAAATCTAACAGTTGATTTTACAAACTATGAATAGGAAAAGTTTACTGCAAAATACAAAGAAAACATGCGAAAAAATTGAAATTATATTTATTCGAAGCTAGCATTAATTTTCAAAAGGAAAAAATATTCAGGAAATCTTCACACGAGTCACACATGAGTAATCATTATGGAGTGCATGTGTCGTGGTGTAGCTAAGTGTAGCTACGATTTGTGTGTGTGTGCGTGCGTGGTGTAGCTACGAGTGTAGCTACGATTTGTGTGTGTGTGTGCGTGCGTGGTGTAGCTACGATTTGTGTGTGTGTGCGTGCGTGGTGTAGCTACGATTTGTGTGTGTGTGCGTGCGTGGTGTAGCTACGATTTGTGTGTGTGTGTGCGTGCGTGTGTGCTACGATTTGTGTGTGTGTGGTGCGTGCGTGGTAGCTACGATTTTGTGTGTGTGTGCGTGCGGTGGTGTAGCTACGATTTGTGTGTGTGTGTGCGTGCGTGTGTAGCTACGATTTGTGTGTGTGTGGTGCGTGGTGTAGCTACGTGCGTGGTGTAGCTACGATTTGTGTGTGTGTGTGCGTGCGTGGTGTAGCTACGATTTGTGTGTGGTGTGTGCGTGCGTGGTGTAGCTACGATTTGTGTGTGTGTGTGCGTGTCGTGTGTAGCTACGATTTGTGTGTGTGTGCGTGCGTGGTGTAGCTACTGTGTGTGTGCGTGCGTGGTGTAGCTACGATTTGTGTGTGTGTGCGTGCGTGGTGTAGCTACGTGCGTGCGTGGTGTAGCTACGATTGTGTGTACGATTTGTGTGTGTGTGCGTGCGTGGTGTAGCTACGAGTGTGTGCGTGCGTGTGTAGCTAATTTGTGTGTGTGTGCGTGCGTGTGTAGCTACGATTTGTGTGTGTGTGCGTGCGTGGTGTAGCTACGATGTGCGTGCGTGTGTAGCTACGTGCGTGCGTGGTGTAGCTACGATTTGTGTGTGTGTGCGTGCGTGGTGTAGCTACGTGCGTGGTGTAGCTACGGATTGTGTGTGTGTGCGTGCGTGGTGTAGCTACGATTTTGTGTGTGTGTGCGTGCGTGTGTAGCGATGGTGTTACGATGTGTGTGTGTGCGTGCGTGTGTGTGTAAGTGTGTGTGTATATGTGTATGTGTATGTGTGTGTGTGTGTGTGTGTGTGTGTGTGTGTGTGTGTGTGTGTGGTGTGTGTGTGTGTGTGTGGTGTGTGTGTGTGCGTGTGTGTTTGTTTGTGTGTGTCTATGTGCATGTGTGTATATGTGTGTGTGTGTGTGTGTGTGTGTTTGTGTGTGTATATGTGTGAATGTACATCCATAAAGGCCCAACACAGGAAACGCAACACCGATTAAAACATTAAAACCCAAAACTAAAAAAACTAAAAAGTAAAAAAAAAGTAAACACCTCAACGACCCCTTTCCTTCCCTTCCCCCCCCCCCCTGCTCCCCTTGCGTCACCAGCTGGCAGGTCACGTTGCATATTCATTCATCAGCGTTGACATTTACGCTCGCATAAATACATGCATGAATGGACACGCGCGAGATCAGCTGTTCCTTTACGAACTCTTTGTGGCATTAGACTCTATATTTACGGACGAGTGTAATTGCGGGCTCACTGATAAGGAAAGGGTTATGAAAGTGTGCATTCGTGTGAGTATAGCTATGCAGAGGTACTTGAGATGAGAATGTGTGGCGTCACATGTGCACATTCCCTTTCTCTTTCTCTCTCTTTCGTGCACTATAGTACTCTGTCTATCTCTCTATCTCTCTTCATAAATTATATTTTTCTGTCTCTCTCTTTCATAAATTATTTTTCTCTTGTCTCTCTCTTTCATAAATTATTTTTCTGTCTCTCTATTTCATAAATTATTTTCTCTTGTCTCTCTCTTTCATAAATCATTTTTTCTCTCTCTTTCTATCTTTCATAAATTATTTTTCTCTCTCATTCATAAATTATTCTTCTCTGTCTCTCTCTCTCTCTCAGTCTATCTGTCTATCTATCCACTTCTCTATCATCTATCTCTATCTATATGTGTGATTATCTAATTATCTATCCATCTTTCTTGCTATATACATTTTTGTTGATATCAATATTCATGTACATCAGCTAGTGTGTGTGTTTGAATGTTCTTTTCTATCTAACAGACTATCCAAAATTCTTTTCCCCTCCCCTCTCTCTCTTACGGGATAAAATTGATAACAATTATGGCCTGAATACACTTACGTAGTTGAAAAGCATAACAATGACAGACTTCAAATAACAAAAAAATAAACACATACAGTACGTGTCTCCATTCACACAACGCACAACAGCAACACAGTACACAACGCACACACATACACAAACGCACACAGTACACACCCACACACGTACACATACCGCACACACATACACAAACGCACACAGACACACCGCAACACACACACAAACGCACACAACACACACACACACACACAAACACGCACCACACCGCAACACACACACAACGCACACAGACACACTACACACACACACCGCACACACATACACACAAACGCACACCACACACCGAACACACGTACACACCACACACACACAAACGCACACACACACGCAAACCATACACAACCAAAACAAGGCATTCCCTTATGTAGTCATCCCCACCCCCCGCTAGCGGCCGCCACGCCCCTCCGTGACGTCCCTGGGATGGACGAGGCCCCGCGAAGGAGGCGACGGCGAAGGCAGGTCGTGACGGCGGGAGGAGAATGGCGGCGCTGATGATAGAGTCATCACTCAGGAGCTTTCGGCGCGGAATGGTGCGTCCGGGGCTCTGGCGGCGCGTGCTTCTGCGATCCCCGATAGATGGCGTGGAGGTGCTTTTTCTTGTATTTTTTATATTTAAAGAAAAATATTAGGAAGAAAC